GTGGCATTGTCCTGGTCTTTCATATGCCAAACAACTTGCAGCATTCATGGAACACAGCTGATTCAAAATTGATCAGAATGCAGTTCGTATGGCATACCAAACCTGAAGAAGAAATCACTAATAGGCCGAAGCTACAGTTGTAGCTTCTTGATTTAGTATTGCATATGCCTCAGGCCAATTGGTGAAATAATCCATCACCACACAAATGTACTTGTTTCCAGCATGTGTTTGGGGCAACGGACCAGCAATGTCAATGGCTACTTTTTCCATTGGTGCACCAACTTGATATAACTTCATTAGAGCATGTCCCTTATGCTCGAGTCCCCGTTTAGCACAACATATACTGCAGGTCCTGCACCATTCTTCCACATCTTGCCTCATACCTGTCCAGTAAAATCTCTGTCATAGGTGACTCAATGTCTTCTTAACTCCGAGATGTCCTCCTGTTAAACTATCATGGGATCGATGCACCACAACTTCCCATAATGTTCTCGGTATAACTGTTTGCCAGGTCGTCACTTTCCCATCTGCAGTTTCTCATCTCCGGACAAGAATACCATCTTCAAGCTTCATCTGGTCCCATTGTGCCCAATAGTTCTTTGTCACAGGGCTTAAGATAGATACCTTCTCCAAAGCAGGGTGCAAAACACTTGCTGTTAGAAAATCAATTATTGGCTTCAAATCTTGGTCTTTCTCCTGCTCTGCTTTAATATCTATACTTGGTTCCACTTCATCATCATCAACTCCTCCAGTCACTTTGACTTCAGCTTTATGGCACCTGGTTAGTTCAACCTTTCTTTTCAGCAATGTCTGCAGTCATTTTTGCAGGGTTGTCAGCTCAGTCTGTTGGTATTTCCATGAGATTTAACAGATACAGCAACACTTACCAGAATTTGGCCTTTGTTGTTCCCCAACGTCATTTTATCAGAGTTAACTACAAACTTCCTTCGTAGTAAGTAGTCCAACCCTAATATGCATATGTCTTCAATGTCAGTATTCTTCATCTCCAAGACAGTTTTACCAACCATTAATCCACAGGGCATGTTGGAGTGTCTGGTGTTTGGTTCCAAGACAGTTTTACCAAACATTAATCGACAGGACATGTTGGAGTGTCAGGTGTTTGGTTCTATTACAGCTACTCACTAAATGTGTATTTACTTTTGACAAGTCCTGGTATAAGGATTTCACTTCTTGATGGTACAATTAATGTTCTCCTTGTTGTCACTGGAATTCAACCTCCAAAGTAGTAATTGCCATGTAGTTCACAGTGATTTCCTTGTTGTAGACTATGTAGCTATTCATAGCTAGCCTTACCTCACAGCTATGTCTCCACATGAAATCAGTTTCCAATATCCACTCTTCTTCAATGTCAATTACCTATACATAATTAGATGTAGAGATGTTTCCTACACTAAAGGTAACTTCAAACTTTTCTATTGCTGGCATTTAGTTCACTTGCTGTGTGAATCACACATTCTTCTTCTTTTTCATTTCTGGAAGCAATTTGCCATCTTATTGCCAAATTATTTTAGCTGTAGAACCAGTGTTAACTGATGTACTACAAGGCTTTCTATCAGTAAATTATGAACTCATGGATTGATTTCTTCACACAATGAACTTCTGTCTCATATAGGATAGATAGGCTATTCTCAACTGAACTTCATCCCAAAGTTCCAGCTAATTTGTTAATTCTTGGCTCAAGGTTCATCCATAGAGTATTGTCTCCTTAATGTCTTAAAAGATGTTGATTCCTTAAGAGTCTCAGCTATAATCACATCTATAATATTCCCCTCCTTATGATATCCTTTGGGAGGAATTCTTATTCTCTACAAGCTTTTGTCTGTAGTTCCTGACAATATTATTTTCTGTTGATATTCATATTGACATTCTGTTTAACTAGTTGTCTAACCAATCGTTTTAGTTCTTCTAAATTGTTATTGGCAGGAATTGATTGTTTGACTAATACTCAATATCATGATCCCTTAACTCAGGCTAGTATTTCAAGTTATTTATCTTTAATGGATTCTAGTTCCATTGTCAATTTTCTTTAAAGATGTTAATCTGCTTTGCTTTAGCCTGTTTCTCATATTCTCGTCTGTTATGGGGTCTGTAAATGGCCATGTGCCAATAAAACCATCATTTCTATGTAAGATAATTGGATAAGCCTTTATAATTCACCTGCAATCCCTTCATATCTTATACTGGAATTTTGCTCTGACTACTGGACAACAAGATGAACAGTTTATTGTTCAATATTCCACTTCTTCATTGTGGAAATGATTATGAACTGGGTATGGTATGCCTCCCATGGTATTCTCCCATCATAATCCACTGGTTCTTGATTGGTCCATGCTGAATTAGCCAGCTAAATTCTGGAAGTTGATTTGGTATTTTCATGGGCGGAGTAGCCCAGCAATGTCCTTCAGTAACAAATTTTACAGCATTAGTGGTAATAGGTGTTGTCCAAACAAGTTTTACAGCATTAGTGGTAATGGGTGTTGTCCAAACAAGTTTTACAGCATTAGTGATAATAGTTGTAGTCCAAACAAGTTTTCCTGTTCCACTCTTGTAGCAGGTGGTGTTCCAAGTTGGAACTCACGAGCCAATGCAGAGAGAGAGATGACGCTAGTTTAATGTTTGCATTTAATAATTCATTTTCCAGATGTTTTATTCTTTTAACAATATTCTTTTGTACTTCAGTGATGCGTTTCTTTACTTCACTTGTTGATTTTGTCATTACAGCATTTTCCATACATCTTCAATCTAATTGTTTTAACCTCTATGTACATAGAAATATTGTTACATATCTGCTTGTTTGTTAATTTCCGGTATAAATTCTTTCCAAGAAACTTCAGCGATACAAGTCCTTTCTTAATTAAACCAGTTCATTTTTCCTCCATACAACTTTTTAATA